TATCAATAGCCCGCATACGAAACTGTTTAATAAACATATTTGCATTGCCAACTGTCTGTGATAACCAAATACAACCAAAACCATATCTAAATAGTAAGGTGCGAATATGAGATGTCCAGTTATTCTTTCCAAGATAATCAAGATGTAAAAGCATATTGAAAGCTTTTTTAGGTAAACGATGTTCAGGCATATTAATTATTTTACACCAATATTTTAAACAACGACAATAAGATGATATGTACAATGGGAACCTCCCACATTCACCATAAACCATAACATTTGGTGTTGACAAACCAACATTTAGAAACTTTTTACAGGCAAGCAAATGAATTTTTTCTATGGTATAATACTCTTTAAAACCCCACATTTCAGATCCATACAGTAAAATCGGTTGTATCTGAGAGTCAAATAATTTGAAGTAAATAGTCGGTGGAACAAGACCGAGCATAGGAACAACAGAGTGAAGTTGTAAAAGAGCTTTCTTTGCTCTCCTCGCCAGGTTAAGTACGGACTTATTCAGATTCAGCGTATGGGTAAACAATATGCCAAGGTATTTATAATCATTCACAACATTCATACGTTTATCTTTAAAAAACCATTTCTCTCTAGCCGACAAAGGACCACCTCTTCGGAATATAACGATGTTTGTTTTATCTAGATTCACACTCAACTGCCATTTATCTGTATACGCTGAGAGTATATCTATTTGATTTTGAAGACCAATTACAGAGCTGGACATAAGAATGACATCATCAGCAAATAATAACATAAAAAGTTCGATTACATCGGGAGAGAGTTGGATGCCATGTTTACCAGACTCCATGATATCTAAATATAATTCGTTAATGAAAAAGGAGAAAAGTAAAGGACTTAAAATACATCCTTGACGCAGACCGACAGGGCAATCGAAAAAGTCACTTACACCATAGCCACAGCGGACACATGACTTTACATTGGAATACATCGATCTTATGATACCATACATTTTACCTCTCAAACCTATATTTCTTAAGCATTTCCACATTCTACCTCTATCTACAGAATCAAACGCCTTTTTGAAATCTACAAAAGCTACATACAACTTTCGCTTGCTAAAGGATAAATATCTCTCAATAATAGCATACAAGGTAAATATATGATCAAATGTTGAGTAGTCCTTTCTAAATCCAGCTTGAGGTTCCGGTATTAAATCTCTCATATTCGACCACTGTGTTAACCTACTGTTGATAATAGATGTAAAAGTTTTACCTAGAATACTAGTCAGAGAAATACCCCTATAATTGTCAGGATTTTGTGCATTTCCGTTTTTATATAACGGGATAATAATAGATTGCGCCCATACGGAAGGGAAACGACCTGTATCAAATATTCGATTGAACATTTTAACCAGGAAGGGCATAATGTCAGGTAATGAGTATTTTAGCATTTCTGAAATAACACCATCAACTCCAGCAGATTTACCAACTTTAAGACGAGACACAGCATTCAGTATATCATATTCCGTAATAGGTGATTCCAGCACAAGCCTATCAACATCGTTAAACTCTTCACTTAGCACATCGCTGTCACAATCTGATAACCAATTGTCAACATCGTAAGAAATATCTTCCTTGGAAAAGAGATTCTTAAAATGACATAACCATTCCGTTTGCGATATATTTACTATGGGGGTAGAGCGACTTTGCAGAGAACGTATATTTTTCCAAAATAGTTTCGGGCTGTTTAGGGAGTTATTAAGTCGCTCAAGTCTTGACGATTGGATATCATATTTGAACTTTCTGCAAGAAGATTTATAAATGTTTCTAAGTCTGCAGTAACCTTTACGATTATATTCACTACGACATCGTCTAAATTTTCTTAGGGCTTTCCTGCTTTCTGTCCTCGCTTGTCTACAAGCTTTATTCAATTTAGGTTTACTAGTTCCAGGATCAAAATGCTTCATTTGTCTTTTCATACTTGAAGCTGAATGAAGAAGACAATGTACAAAATCTGCAATGCCCTCTTCATGGGAATTTTCAAGTTTAGTTAATAAAGAATTATCATTGATATGCAGCATCTGTCTCAATGATGCAGTAAATAAGCCTACCTTCGATTCATCCCAGACAAATCTAAAGTCAGCGTCATGGTCATCACAATCTACAGTACGCTTAGCATGACTGCTTAAAGGAAACCTGCAAAATAACTCAAGGGGGAAATGGTCAGAGTCCAACCGATCACCAACATTTAGCATTTCTACAAACTCAAAAAAACTAACAGATGCGAGAAAATAATCAACAACACTAGAACCCCTTTCTCCTACATAAGTAAACTCGCCGCCTTTGTCACCTTCAACTCTCCCGTTCAATATATACAGACGACAAACATAACACAAATCCAATAAAATGCGTCCAAATCTATTAATAGTAGAGTCATGTGACGCCCGCTGCTCGACAGGGGCATTGTCTTCTTCAATATATACATCATCATTACCAAAGTCTACACTTTGCTCAAGGATTGGATTATTTTCATTAGCTATGCGAGCATTAAAATCCCCACAAAGTAATACATGTGATGACGTGAAATCAGTCCAATGATCCAGTATAAAAGCCTCAAGTTTATCAATAAGGCAACCAGAATTATTATTTCTGTTGTAAAATGTAGAGCCTACAGGCGGAACATACATACACAACAACATGAAATCATTAATTAAACTAAATGTAGCTTTGGGAAATTTTAGACATATCAAATTGTCTATCTGTGTGTTAAGTTGAAAGCACTGGTTCACAATTTCTTGTCTCACACAAACACACACACCACCAGAACATCTACCTGATGAAGATAGTTTCACTGCTGGGGCAAAGTATGTCTGATATCCAGGTAGCCAGTACAAGTTCGCAAAATCAGTGATAAATGTCTCCGTTAAACACACAATATCAAATGACTTGAGATAAGCTATACAGTCAAGGTCATCAAACTTTTTACACAAGCCACTAATGTTCCATGATAATACTGACAGTTTATTGTTACCGGTGCGCGAATAGTTTCCATCCTGTGAGAGAGGATCCTGGGCCGGGCCGCACTGCTATCTCCTGTTATGAATGTCACTTCGCCTCGTTTGTCGATTGGTTTTCTCCGATCTTCCCGTGTCTTGGGGTTGCGCATCATTACGTGGTTTAGTCATCAGCTTACCATTTTTTAAAGTAGCCGATCAATCCCTGGGCTCTAGCATCCTTAAGTTGTTGGCGTTGTCTGGCGGTTAAATCATTGGAGACGCCATAGCCGTTACTCTTGAGTGTTGCTCGTGATTTCAGAACCTCGATCTTGTCATCAGAGAGGCGTAGTTTAGCGATGAGCGGTCTCGGTTTAGAGATGTCAACACGTTGGGGGGCCGAGTCGATGTGATCGTATGACGTCATCAGCAATCCAGGTCTTAGTCTTTACATTATTGTTCAAAATGTCAAGTACTTTGAACTTACAATCGTTGTGCGACTCCCCTGTATCCTCTGCAACGTTGTATAGAATAATGTTGTCACGTCTGCTGAAGGCTTCTAGTTTGTCGATCTCGCTGTCGAACTGTGATATTTTCTCCTCTACTTTTTCCATCTGGACGGAGATCAAGGAGACGTCCTCATACATTATGTCCTGATTGTGACGCACATTTTCCAGATCACTATGGAGGTTTGACAGCTTTGTTTCGAGATCTGTAAACCTGGTGCTTAAATCGCGCACTTCTCTCGAGAGTGAGCTGATCTGGCCTCAAAGCTCATGCTTCACGTTCTGTACCTCCTTCAGTATGGTGTCCCTAACTTCGTCTAGGGTCACTGGTCCAGGGTTCATTTCTACGTCGTTAGCACACAGAATCCGATGTGTTATAACCCCAGCCGGCACGGGATTACCTCCTAATAGACAGGCGTCGGGCGTACGTTGAGATTGAGCTACCCAAGCTGTACAATCAGCTTCAACAGGCATGACGTCAGTGGCATATACAAGTTCATAAACATGCTCTTTTGGTAAATATGAGTGAAAATCGATATTTTCACATGTGATCATAACAGCATAACTCAATCCCATGTGCAGTGAAAACATCATTGCACACAAAACAAGTCTGAAATGCACATCAGTACCAACGACAGTAGGTGAATACTCGCCATGTTTGTCGAGCGTTACTTGCCGGGTGCCCTTGGGTTGAGAGAAGAGTCCAATTCTTGCTCTATATACGCCAATCGACACCATTTCTTCTTTTGAAAAGGTCACTTGTAGTATCACACACACGTTTTACACCACCTATGATGTCATAAGTGTGGATTATCACGAGTAAATCAATATATAGTCATTTTTTCCCGAGAGCAACAACACACACGTCTTCTCACCAACGCATGCGCAGTTCAATTGGGGCCAATAGTACAAAATGACAACTTAGATTAAATTTTTACAGAGCGCATGGACATGATTTTGTTAACAAAAATTGCTAGAAGGAGTATTATGTTATGGTTCTTAGTATTTAGAAGATGTACAATTTTTTTGTTTATTTGGGTTCAAAATATAGATACTTGGTATGTAGTGTATACCGCTGCATATAAAGGACATTTCATTAACACATGATACTCATCTTCTGGTACATTTTTACAATAATCGCACATAGCTACACTAATGTCATTGTCTTAAGATCTTCTATACGAAGCTATGTTTAAATTGGTGGAGCCGCATCTGAATATTGTTACAAGAAAATATACACATGGTGATTGAGAATATCCTTTTCCAAAACACACAGTAAATATATTCATGGAAACAAGTAAAGCAACACATGAAAGGACACGTGTTCCTTTATGCTTCTCCGGGTTTTCACCCACAGTGAAATACAAATCATGCGAAGAAAACTGGGAAAGAATATAGCAACACATTTTCTTTCACGTGTTCCCTTATTTGTTTCCTTGAGTATATTTTGAAATGTGTTGTGACTGTGACTTTCAAGTCACAAACTTTGTGTACGCGTTGTCAAACAGGTCTCCCAAAATGTGTACTTTCCTTTACAAGTACGTCATTTTATTTTCCTCAAAGACAACGCTTTTCATTGTTGAGCACATCAGACTGCCTGTCAGTCGTGGAAATATGGGAACGGTTAACATTGTTGAACACATCAGACTGCCTGTCAGTCGTGGAAATATGGGAACGGTTAACATTGTTGAACACATCAGACTGTCTATCAGTCGTGGAAATCTGGGAACGTTTTAGATTGTTGAGCACATCAGACTGTCTATCAGTCGTGGAAATCTGGGAACGTTTTAGATTGTTGAACACATCAGACTGTCTATCAGTCGTGGAAATCTGGGAACGTTTTAGATTGTTGAACACATCAGACTGTCTATCAGTCGTGGAAATATGGGAACGTTTTAGATTGTTGAACACATCAGACTGTCAGTCGTGGAAATATGGGAACGGTTAACCTTGTTGAACGCATCAGACTGTCAGTCTTGGAAATCTGGGAACGTTTTAGATTGTTGAACACATCAGACTGTCAGTCGTGGAAATATGGGAACGGTTAACCTTGTTGAACGCATCAGACTGTCAGTCGTGGAAATCTGGGTAGGATTTACATTGTTGAGGACATCAGACGGTTAGTTGTGGAAATATGGGAACGTTTTTCAGTGTTGAGTTGATCAGGCTGTCCGTCAGTCGTGGAAATCTGACATATTGGCCACATCACTCTTGGTGTCCGACCCCGCGACAGCACCAAGCTGCTCAGAATGATCACATGTACATTCCAGGCAAAAACGACTCTTGGAAAGGCCTCGTTCGTGAGTGATGAATTCTCGGTGAAGACGTTCATTCTTAACTTCAAGCGCTTTCATTATAGTTTTCATGCTTGTGACTTGCTTGAACAGTTCCGACCATCTCACTGTGTCTGGGAGATACGAGGCCGACAAATCCTGCTGTAGAGATTGAGAAATTTCGTTCATCTGATACAGAGAATCTGCCAGTTGCCTGATGTTGACCGTCTCCTTCATCTTACAGAAGGGACACTTTGTTCTCCGTCTACTAGACACGGTCAGCCTCTCCAGCTCGTCCCCCACTTCCTTAGCCAGGGTCTGGTTTTGTTCAGAAAGCACTTGGAGGAATTGGTCCTTGAATGTTTCGTGGGTGAAGTTACCTCGCAGGTAGGTAACGAAGGCTTTGTTTCTCGAATGGTTGGTTGGGCGTGCCAAGATGCTCTCTCTTCCTGCTTCAGACATGACGTCACTGCTGATGAGGCGGTCCATCAGAGGCGTAGATTGTAAGTCGAGGCCACGGATAAGGATGGGGGAAACCTTTCTTATCGATTCAATATATGCATCAGAAACTGGAAATGAAATATGGAATAGTTGAGTTGAGTTACATTACATTATTATTCACAAACTACAAACAACAAATCCGATATTCACATTGCAATCTATGATACAGATCAATCTCTCTCAAAGCACATGACTTTTTTTAAATGTTACGTAAATTATGATGTTATTAGATAGAAATAAACAACATGGCCTCTGTTTGTGATTGTTTGTTCCTTGTTCTTAGTCACTGATTATGTCTGACTGGGATATACTGTGTATGTACTGTCCACATTTGATATACCGCCACCCTGGATATACCGCCACCCTCGATATACTGCCACCCTGGATATACCGTCACCCTAGATATACCGCCTCCCTGGATATACCGTCACCCTGGATATACCGCCTCCCTGGATATACCGTCACCCTGGATGTACCGCCACCCTGGATGTACCGTCACCCTCGATATACCGTCACCCTAGATATACCGCCTCCCTAGATATACCGTCACCCTGGATATACCGTCACGTTGGATATACCGCCACCCTAGATATACCGCCACCCTGGATATACCGTCACCCTGGATATACTGCCACCCTGGATATACCACCACCCTGGATGCACCCTGGATATACCGTCACCCTGGATATACCGCATCCCCTGGATATACCACCCTGGATATACCGTCACCCTGGATATACCGCATCCCTGGATAAACCACATCCCCTGGGTATACCGCCACCCTGGATATACCGTCACCCTGGATATACAGCATCCCCTGGATATACCGCCTCCCTGGATATACTGCATCCCCTGGATAGACCGCCACCCTGGATATACCGTCACCCTGGATATACTGCATCCCCTGGATATACCGCCACCCTGGATATACCGTCACCCTGGATATACCGCATCCCCTGGATATGCCGTCACCCTGGATATACCGCATCCCCTGGATATACCACCACCCTGGATATACCGCATCCTTGGCTATACCGCCTCCCTGGATATACCACCACCCTGGATATATCGCCACCCTGGATATACCACCACCCTGGATATACCGCCACCCTGGATATACCGTCACGCTGGATATACCACCACCCTGGATACACCCTGGATATACCGTCACCCTGGATATACCGCATCCCTGGGTATACCGCATCCCCTGGGTATACCGTCACCCTCGATATACCGCATCCCCTGGATATACCATCACCCTGGATATACCGTCACCCTGGATATACTGCATCCCCTGGATATACCGCCACCCTGGATATACCGTCACCCTGGATATACCGCATCCCCTGGATATACCGCCACCCTGGATATACCGTCACCCTGGATATACCGCCACCCTGGATATACCGTCACCCTGGATATACCGCATCCCCTGGATATACCACCACCCTGGATATACCGCATCCTTGGCTATACCGCCTCCCTGGATATACCACCACCCTGGATATATCGCCACCCTGGATATACCACCACCCTGGATATACCGTCACCCTGGATATACTGCCACCCTGGATACACCCTGGATATACCGTCACCCTGGATATACCGCATCCCCTGGATATACCACCCTGGATATACCGTCACCCTGGATATACCGCATCCCTGGATATACCGCATCCCCTGGGTATTCCGCCACCCTGGATATACCGTCACCCTGGATATACCGCATCCCCTGGATATACCGTCACCCTGGATATACCGCATCCTTGGCTATACCGCCTCCCTGGATATACCACCACCCTGGATATATCGCCACCCTGGATATACCACCACCCTGGATATACCGTCACCCTGGATATACTGCCACCCTGGATACACCCTGGATATACCGTCACCCTGGATATACCGCATCCCCTGGATATACCACCCTGGATATACCGTCACCCTGGATATACCGCATCCCCTGGGTATTCCGCCACCCTGGATATACCGTCACCCTGGATATACCGCATCCCCTGGATATACCGTCACCCTGGATATACCGTCACCCTGGATATACCGCCTCCCTGGATATACTGCATCCCCTGGATATACCGCCACCCTGGATATACCGCCTCCCTGGATATACTGCATCCCCTGGATATACCGCCACCCTGGATACACCACCAAATTTGCCTGGACGGATGATGGCGGTATATCCAGGTGTAACTGTACTTCACTATTGTCCCTTTTTTTCAAAGAATGCGTTTCTACCAAAGTTTAACACATTTTATATTTGGGATCACACTTTCTCGGTCAGGACAGATTCTAGTACTTTTGTTGGGTTGAATACCATCCGGGACCCGAACCTACACCCTCAGAGTCAGGCACCTAAGCACCAGCACACAAAGTCAAACCCCTAACCAACTCAGCTAGTGGAATTAGGTGCCTGACTCTGAGGGTGTGGGTTCGAATCCCGGATGGGCCTCATGCCCAAGTTTTTATCTTTTTAACGTATCGGAAGGCTTCATGTGTCTGCCTTGCTTTTGCCAGTTAGGACGAAATGAAGGCGTCTTAAAAACTTTGAGACGGTCATTCTGATAGCAGTATAAACCATTTGGGGACAATATTGCGAAAGCGTCGTCAAAACCCAACTCACTCATTAACACACTTACCACCGACGTCCTCCCGAAACAGAAGCTGCAGATTCCGCTGCCGGAAGCTCTGCATGAGGTAATCCTCCATGAAACTGTTCAGTCTGTCAAACTCCCGCACGTCCACTCCATCAGGGAGATGGTCCTGGAGGAAAATGGCTGCCCGCTGTGCACACTGTTGCAACGTAAACTCCATCATCACCTCCAGTTGAGCAACGTCATCCCTTCCACGACTACGTGCGCAGCCTGCATTATCCACTATCGCCGACGCCAACACCTTCCTTGCCTGCGTCACCTCCTTGTTGTCTGTAGTAGATGCTGCGGACAGGAAACCTTCATAGTCAGGTAGGGGCGGTGGGGGTAGCCTAGTGGTTAAAGCGTTCGCTCGTCACGTCGAAGACTCGGGTTCAGTTCCCCACATGGATACTATGTGTGAAATCATTTCTGGTGTCCCCCGCCGTAATATTGCTGAAATATTGCTAAAAGCGGCGTAAAACCAATACCATTTTATGAATTAACAGATACATGAGACATTAAAAAGTACCTCCTGAGTCACCTGGACGTGCAGTTCCTTCTGGAGTGTCTTCGAGGCCATAGTCTGAAAAGACAATACTCTTATCAATTTCCCTTTACAAAGGATGGATGCTTTCAGTTTTCAGGCAGGCCGAGAGATGATCATACGAGGAGAAGGTCACAGTATCCTGTCAGTTCCTTCCTTCTAAGCAACACACAATACATTTGTTATTTGTTCTCCTAACTGAAATTGGTTTTCAGTGACATTTAACTGAAACGTCATCACTCACTCACTCATCCACCCACCCAATTAACTATAACCCACCCACCCTCCCACTCACTCACCCAATCAACCCACTCATTCACTCACTCATCCCATCCACCAACTCACTCACCAACCCTCTTTTCACTTACCCAATCAACCAAACAACCCACTCACTCACTCCGACCAACACAATTACTCAAGGCTTCTATACATTGCGGGCGGTGGGGTAGCCTAGTGTTTAAAGCGTTGGCTCGTCACGCCGAAGACCCGGGTTCGAATCCCCACATAGGTACAATGTGTGAAGCCCATTTCTGGTGTCCCCCGCCGTGATGTTGCTGGAATATTGCTAAAAGCGGCGTAAAACCAAACTCAGTCAGTCAGTCTATACATTGCCTTTACACACTGTATAATGAGATACCAGTGAACGCACCGTGTCTGACGTAGAATTCCCATTTGGCGCTGGTGCTCCACGATGTTGTCACAACTACATCGGGAGCAGGGCCAGACTCCTGTTCACAAGCCGTGGAAGGACACTTCAGTACCTGCACGTTGTTTCTTAATGTCCTGGGAAAAGAACGAAACGTTGGAAATAACATTGTTGGGGCAATGTGTGTGTTTAGGGACCGTTCATAATTTATGGCTAGGGGGGTTGGTGATGATTTTTATGGAGAAGCATGTACAATGTGAATGACACCCCTTCCCCCCCTAAAATTTATGTGCGAAATAAGTGACCCCCTTTGCATGTCCTGTACAAAATCAAGAGATTCTCTATTTATTACACTTCCTCTGTCTCCATTACATGGGAGACCCAACCGTCTGACGCGCAGATACGTAGTTGCCTCCCTTGAGGTCTCCAGAACATAGCCTGTCTAACAGTTCAGTTGAGTTGAAGTTTTACGTCGCATCGGCATTGTTTCAGCCATAAAGTGACGAGACCAACAGCCCTTGAACTGCAATTTTTCCGGTTTGCTTGTTTCTGTAAATATATATATATATATATAAAAAAACAACTCATTTAAGCTTAGTACTTAAAATGTCCATGTATGCAGACTTGGTTTGGTCGCTATATGGCTGAGATAATGACGATGCGACGTAAAACTCAACTCAACTCAACTCAGCTTTTAGTCTAGCTTGAAAACTGTGATCTAGGATTTGAACTCGGCTTCGCCCGAGTTTGTCAGCAAAGTCATCTTACTCGTGGAATTCTTCAAAGAAACTTCCTGTATATCTTCATGCTTTTTTAACACAATAGCAAAGCAAATATGAAACCTTTGGTTATGGAAGAGAGTATTAGTGATACACATATGTACCAATACAGCAATGAAACAAGTTCGGTTCAACATGAAGTATTGGCGAACAGAAATAATCTTGATAATTACGTCATTATCACGACACCTACCTCAGATTTTCCAGTTCCTTCAGGTAATCCTGGACACAGGTGACAGTGACTGTCTTTGAGACCACACTGAGTCGGACCACAATCTCACTCACTATCAGAGTTGCGTAGTCAGATGAGGGCAGCGTGACGCCAACACGGCGTCGATCTTCCAACATTTCAGAAAAAAAATCAAAACTTTCTCCTGTAAAACAGTAATAGGAGTCAACACTTTTCACAGATCGAGAGAAGCAAGAATTAACCTGCTTCAAAAACAGATGTATCACATCGTGACATTTCCTTGGATTCATTTGAATCGCTCCAGCTGTTGCCCCTTTGGATGTTTCTGAGACAATCCGCTCAAGGTCTTCAGCAAATCTTTCACTGGAGTGGAACTGCTCTAAAGTCAGAACACCGTTGTTGACGGAGAAGTCCGCAATGTCTTTCCTTACAATGCTGACGATTGCCCTGGCGAGCTGAGAGTTGTAATATTTGGCTCTGTCCAGTTTGAGGCCATCTGTAAGTATTGTCAGGACCAACACTGGACTGTCATCTCGGAAAATACACACGTCACAAAGCACGTTGTCAGGAAACTTTCCGTTCAGGGTCTTGTTTAGGGTGGCCAACAGCGAGTGGCCGATGTAGGCAAAGTATCCTTCTTCACACAGTTTCTCTATTTCTAAGAGAACAGTTTCAGCAACATCTGACAGGTAATCGACCATGATCTTTGGATAGATGAATCCTTTACCTGAAAAACAGAAAATAAGTGTACAGGTATGACTTGGTTGACCTGCTGTGACAAGAAGCGTTGGGGGTAGTCCAATCATTTACATGCAAGGAGATGATGCTCATGACATGTTGTGAAAGGACAGTGAGAAAGAACATCGAAGCTGACATGGTTAACGCCCCATCGGATATTGAAAACATTCAAAACTATAGTAATAACAACTGCTTACTGAGGCGGTGGGGTAGCCTAGTGGTTAAAGTCCTCGCTCGTCCGCCGAGGATCTGGGTTCGATTCCCCAAAATAAAGTGGAAACCGCCTAAGTAAAGACCGCTTTACTAAACAGACCTGATAAGTAAACACTTTTCTTTGTTCCCGGCAAATTTCTTCATTAATCATCACTATTAGAGTCTGGTTAACTAAACTCGGATAAGTAAACAATACCGCTTAACTAAACGTCTCTCACGGTCCCTGGAAGTAAATTACTTAACAAAAGGTACTGGATAACTAAATTAGCGATCACCACATAATCCGACATGAGGGGCACGTGTCAGTCTCCAGTTAAACAAACATCCTACTTACAGCTCGCTGGCGTCAAGCAGTTGACAATACACTGACAACTGGAGGCCAGCCCTGATAAGTGGTTCATTGTTACATATGCATACATATACATGCAGGTTTTGATAAGTTTGGATAAGTAAAATACCTGATAAGTAAACAATTTTGGCTAGTCCCTTGAATTTTTACTTATCAGGTTTCCACTGTATGTAGAATGTGTGAAGCCTATTTCTTGTGTCCCCGCCGTGATATTGCTTGAATATTGTTAAAAGCGACGTAAAAGCATACTCACTCACTGATAAGCCGAAGCATTTGTTTATACGTGGAATTACAATAAATGTACCTTTTGAAATCTGTGTACCAAACTATCATGCGACTCTTTCGCTGGAGCACGTGGACACCAGGACATCCTTGGTCTTGCTATAAATAACTATCGCCATGATAATATTTCGGTTTACCTGCAAGCTCTGTGGCAATCCACTGTGAAAAGTAACCTCTGTTGTACCTTCCCAGAAAATCGTCATGTTCATGGATCGTATCTGCAATTTAAGAAATATAATCTGTCAGTTTTAGCCATTATTTCAGCTCTAAAAAATCATTTTGGAACACACGTATTACACTCTAAAAATACAGGTCCTTTCGGCTTTTTAACCCATAACATTGACTTCCGTCCTAGCTGGAACATTCCTGTGAGCGCGGCGTTAAAGTCCATTGATTGATTGTTGTTTAACATAATATATGTTCCAGCTATATAGAGTTGTTCTATAAATAATCGAAACTGGACCAGACAATCCGGTGATCAACAGACCACTCTAACCCGGATCTTCACGAGTCGTTATGCAACAAACGGACAGACGTAAACCCAGAAAGATATGTACAAAAAGACACCACTTAAATTCCCCCCATTACTCAAGTTAGTATTTCGGTTTACCTGTGAAGTCGTACGTGAAGACAGGTGGGCAGTAGCCAGGTAGTTCTTGGGAGGATCTACCTGGAGATGTACCTGGACACAGCAAACGACATAAATAAGTTACAGTATTTATTACATAACTGGAGGAATATATAAGGTTGTGATCTACATTACATTGTAAACCAAAAGTCACTGTGTTCTTTAATCTGATTGGTTGAAAAACGTGATCAAATGGTATTCGATTCCCGGAAATTCGCTGCGTATTATTACATACAAACATCGCTCACACCATTGTATTGTTTCGTCGTCAGCTGTGATGACGTCATTAAAATCATATTGTGACGTAAAGTCCGAATGACGTCACAAATGGCCAGTTCCAGATGCTACCATGGGAGACAGCCGAAACGGCCGGCTGATGACATTTCATCCTGTACTCGATGTCAATGAGTGCAGACACAAAAACGTGTGTAGACCTTTTGGTTTACTTTTGTGTTTACAATGATAACGATAAACATTATGTGATTTGGCCAATTTCATTTGAAACCTCCGGGTGGAATATGAATATTTGAAGCTTCAAATACGGGAATAACATTTGGAAATTGGCGAAGACATGATGTTTATCTCCTAAGCGGATACGGTTAGTGAATCGTTTAAAACTGAACACTTGGTACACGTCAAAATAGAGAAGTGCATCAACAAGGTTACCTTGACTCTTCTTCGCTGACGTTTTATGGACATTCAAACAATTGTATTTTATTTCCAGTCAAATACTAGTATCTACAAAATACCAACCCCAACTCATTTAAGCGTAGTTCTTAATATGGTCTCAGAGTTGGTCTCGCTATATGGCTGAGGTAATGCCGATGCGACATAAAACTCAACCCAACTACCCTGTCAAACTGTTGGTGTTTGTTTTGGTTTGTTTGTATTCATCTGATGTCCATGGCAAGGTATATAGAGAATCTCACCCAAGTGTCTACTGATTACAACTATATCAACACGAGCTGATAAAGTTAAATATATCCGAATATCATCAAAAATCATTCTTCATTAGTTTTCAATGAAAAACGTACATCTCTCAACACTGTAGTACCATTAGACTTGCGATGTCATAGCATTGTGACGTCAGCAAGTTGTTGACGTCATAGCATTGTAAGGGCATTGTACAAAATGTACTGTCAAAACGATATCTTCTAGGAGATATCATATGATCTTACACAAGCGATCCTGTGAAACACAGTTTTGGATGATAAAGATCATAGATACATTGTAGATAGATAGACAGATAGAGAGACAGACAGATAGATAGATCACACACACACAAACAAACACACATACACACACAAGAAAACCCCAAACAAACAAAAGCAAATACAACACACGCAAAGAACACACACACACATGCACACACACATGCACTCATGGTTGCAATATGTGAACCCGTTTCTGGTGTCCCCTGCTTGAATTTTGCTAAAAGCGGCGTACACTCACTCAACTCACTCACTCACTCTGTATAAGACACACAGCATGTTCTGTCAAGAAGTCTGTACCTGGAACAACCGTGTGTGGACTACGTCGTAACGATGCTGGGCTGGATGAAGACACGTCTTGTTCCCCCACTCCACTGACGATGATCTGATCCGAGTACATGCCCAGGGACACGGAGCCGCTGGATTGACCATAGCTGCCTAAAGACGTCGTCATGGACCCTGACCGCTTGTGCGTTCGGTAATCAGACATGTTGGCGGGTAGGTGTATCCTTAAACTAAGAACATGTCACAAAGTTTTGTCTTAAGGTACAGCATCTGAATCCGACGGATCCACCAGTAGGTATATCCTTAAGCCAAAGACATGTCAGAAAGATTGATCGTGAGGAACATCATCTGAATTCGACGGAGTCACGGTTAAGTATATCTTTAAACCAGAGGCATGTCAGAAAGCTTTGTCTCAAGGGACATCATCTGACTTCGACAGATCCACAGGTAGGTATATCCTTAAGCCAAGGACATGTCAGAAAGATTGGTCTTAAGGAATAAGGAACATCATCTGAATTCAACGGATCCACAGGTAGGTGCATCCTTACACCAAAGACATGTCAGAAAGCCTGGTCTCAAGGGACATCATCTGAATTCGGCGGAGCCACTCCTTGAAGTCCATTCTACAAATTGTACCATTTTGAATTGTATATGTCTCTGGTCCCTTCTTTTCATAGAACACGATGCCCTCAACACAACCAACTGCGATTTCAAGAATATACTTAAACTTATTGTCTTTGTCTGTGAACCTGTGCAATTCTACTTCTACCAGGTCCTCTGGAACGTCCAGCAAATGTCCATCGAAGCTTAGAAATGCAGCTTCGTCCTTGATCTTCTTGAACACTGATGATCTAAGTTCTGCTATAGACCCAGGCACATCTACACCCCACAGTTCGATGATCTTCGATTCGTAAGGTTTTTTGTTATGTCGCAGCTCATTTATTCCAAGAAAAAATGACCCACCTTCCTTCACTTTAGACAAACAGCTTAAATTTTCTTTAAAGCGCAGGTCCTGCCAAACATAATCAACAAATTCTCCAACTGAGTCTATTTTTTTTGTTGGGCATGTAAACTTTTAATTCTGTCCTTCTGTTTTCATGCAGTAGGGTCGTATATTGATCTAATCCACGGAGCTTGGGAAGTGCTTTTTGAGGATGGACGTCATTTGACAAAATTGACACGATATTAATCGTTGACGCTTTCTCAATCTTGAAGTCTGAGGATACTTTCGTCTTAAAATCAACTGTCGATATGAATGGTGTTTTGGTAACTTTCAGCAACACAACATCCAGAAATTGTTCAAACTGTTCCCATTCGTGCAGCCATTGGCGAGTGTATGACTCAATGAACAGCTTACCGTCAGGGATTAGATTGTTCAAGCTATTGTCCAGAAAGTCGTCGAGATGTCCGAGATATTTATCGTCCCTTGTTTGTCCGTCTAGATGTAACAACACATCTCCGCCCTCGGTGTTTCTCAAAGCACTCACGATCTTCTCAATCTCCTTCAGTTTTCGCCGCTTTCTCTCACTTCTCTTGATTTTTCAGTAAGAACACAAACGTCAAGATGGACTAAAAAGAAACTTGGTTCCACTAGCGCTTTATTGTATTGACATCGCAGTTTGTGACAGACTGTGCAACTACCTGAAATGATAATAATAATGATAATTAGTTATCGATATAACGCCTATTTTAGTGCATGGCTATCTGCTCAGAGAGTGAGGAGTGAGTTTGGTTTTACGCCGCTTTTAGCAATATTCCAGCAATATCACGGCGAGGGACACCACAAATAGGCTTAACACATTGTACCCATGTGGGGAATCGAACCCGGGTCTTCGGCGTGACGAGCGAACGCCTTAACCACTGGGCTACCCCACCGCCCCATTTCTGCTCAGAGGCGCTTTTGGGGTTAAAACAGCTCTGACAGAGGGTATTCAGTTGTGAGCCAATCTGAAGACAACAGATTAATTAAGTATTTGTTGCAAGTAGTCTGCACTGTAATTAGCAATATTCAAACCCGTGAGGATCTTCAGCAACCCATGCTTGTGAGAGGTGACTAACGGGATCCGGTGGTCAGGTTAGCTGACTTCTTCATGCTGTTGATCACTGTATTGTCTCGATTATTTACAGACCGCCGCCATATAGCTGGGATATTGCTGCGTGCAGCGTTAAAAAACAAACAAACAAAACAAATCTATCAGTGCAGATGGTGCGTCCGGCAGCAAACACTCACAAGACTAACGCTTAGTCTGTGAATATATATAATTTCGACACAAACAAATAATTCCTTTTAAACTGAACAGCAGCCCCAGTGGGTTCAGATATTCAGAACCTGAGGGAATCTAGACTTGCTTCAACTAGAGATTTTGCTTTGCAGAAAGGGTTGGGCGGAGGAAATAGTGTGTGGTTGAGGGACTGTGAGACAGATTACTGTGACACAAAAGGAACAGAAGTAATCTACTCACCCGTCTCAGAGCTTGCCATTCTCAGATGTCCATTTCTGGTGAAAGATTACACCGGTCATTTTGATTCCACCTACGATAGAAGGCATTCATATAAACAAAGGTCAGTTAAACTGTGAATGTTGCTAAACGCTGCATCAGCAATTTAGCAGCTATTCGCGAATAGAAAAACAAATATAATCCTTTGGAAATGAATATGCAGTCAAAGTGATGACGAAGATCGTTAAACCTTCAGTCCATATCACAGTGGACAGAAAAACTGACTATCAGAGTTTATAATCAACTTCTTATCTTATGTTTTATTTCTTTCAAGTATGCTGAAATTAAATGATTAGAAACTGTATTAAACAGTTCAGAAATAATCGGGGCAGAATAAAATTGTTGGCGAATGAGCGAAAAATCCACACATTCCAACAAAAGGTAATTGCACTTATAAACCACCATGTACCCGCCATCGATGGTGCATATCGACGTTTATCGGGAAATAACTGCCAAGATGGATATTGCTAATAAGCTTGGTGAAACTCTGTCTAATCATTCGCCCGCGTCTAACTAAAATGTATGTATCCCAGTTCTAGAAAGACAACAGGGAGAAATGAAATATGTAAATTTTAAGCCAGATAATGTTTGTATCACTGGATTGTGTGGTCCAGACTCGCAAACCGAAACACGAGTCTCATTAACCTATTCAGACAATTAGCTACTTTTCAGCCAATCCGAATTTTCCTGTGTGAAAGTTAAAGGGGACAAACAACTATGGTTGCACTGAATTCCAATTTCTTGTTTTATAAGAAAATGGCATTTACAAGTTAATTTAAATTTTAAACTTTAATAACATCGTATTTCTATATTTTATTACGAGATGTAGACAGCATGATCTTAACTAAGACGTCACAGACTGCCCCTGTTTGATGAGGTCGTAAAACGATTCGCAATTCATCTGGCTCACTAGTTACACATGTTATGTGTTTCTTGCTCTTAGTCGTGTAGTTTTGTAACGCACAATGTGATTGATATCATATCAAGTCCGTACCAGACCGCCAAACTTTTCTAGCGGCAGAGCCTCGTTTTGCGATGTCCACGATTTCCAGATTTCCGTTTGTCAGAACTCGCTGTACGACAGAGCACGCTGCACGACATGTTTACAAGGATTAGAAGGAGCGTAGTGTGGCAATATACAAGTGCTTAGATGTATCAAATAATACTTAGGAGATAAACATACTGTGTTTGGAAATTAGATGAATGTTAGACCGAATTGATAGTCTCTAAATTAATCATTTGAAACCTCACGAGAGACTATCAATTCGGTCTAACATTCATCTAATTTCCAAACACAGTATGTTTATCTCCATTCTACCATAACCGATTTAACATCGAACTTCCTCGTCCTGCGGAAGACACTGCGTAATCCGGCATGGGATGAGAGGCGACTGATTGAACTCGTCTGATAAAGGAGTGGTAGGTTCCGTTCGTATTTTATTTAACATTGCAACATAACAAATACTCTGTCCAAAGAAAACAAACTACTGTTTATTCAATGCAATAATGTAACACCTAAGAGCTTGGTTTTTATAATCATAACTCCACAAGACCGAAACCAGCCTATTGTTTTGTGTGCCGTATTACTGTACCCCCCTGGCCACAGTATAATGGAATCGTCTGACCTACTTATTTTCTTTGAAGTAGACAGTTACGCAACAGTTTGAAATGACGGACGAGCCAGTGTTTACACTTTGCGAAAGGTTGAAATTCGAAGTGACAGTGGAAAATACTTGACTGGCTGTCGAACCTGAACCCTGCAGAATCGAAGAATAGATCCTTTTCTCGACCTATAACCTATAACTCATCAAAGACTGTTGATTTTTATGACCGGCGAGTGTCGATCATGATTTCACGTACGTGCCTCCATCCCGGCATGCGAGGAAGAGTGACAGTGCAGCTTTGTGTACATGCGACTAACTTGGGATTCCTTGGAACATTGTTCTCATCATTTGGGACTGGATTGTGGCCAAGCTTTTCAAAGTGTACGAACATAGCAGTGACAGCCTTCGGGGAAGGTGGCAGAGAACTGAATTCTCATGGTTCAGTTTTTGACATTTTGAACGATGCAACGGGACATGATGGAGTATGAGTGGCAAATTTTGTGTTTCGCCTGACCGTTATCTTGCGAATTTCCCATTCTTAACGGAAACAAATATACCATTTACCAGGTAGGTAAATGTTTATGAACGTTTTGCCGCACAAATAGGGATAGATAGGGATGTATTTTTACAAGGTTTTCTGATTTATATGTTAGATATTGTTTGTTTATGTTTGGGGCTGTGTATTGTAATTGAGTTTGAATATTTTTATAATAGAAGGTAATAATTATGATAGTGAGGTCCCCTAATAATTGTGGAGGAGAAATCGTATTATTGTATTTTTCGAGTTTTAATAAATGTTTCAGCAGCATTTCCATCACGTCTGTTGTGTTGGTATTAGTCATGTTGGTGGCCAAGCTGAAGTAGTGCGGCAGTGTTGTATACGTGCGCAGTGAAGCGCCGTGAAATCAGACGCATTTTCAATCTAAATTTACCGTCTGATTTTATGGCTTGACCAATCAAATTCGAGCATTTCACGTAGCCATGGTAGAATAATTAATATACTCATGCCAATAATGGTCACCCCCTCCCAATCCCACACACCCTCTCCAATTAAAACTTGAAGGGGGTGACAACCATTATATTGGCATGAGTATATTTATGATCCAGTTGAATGGTCGCAAAATTCTGAACTGGTTTATTGTAATATGTTGCGCAATAGGACGAAGCCCAGTCAGCAGCCTCGGACGCCTTGTCCACATGACCAAAGAGGTTAACCCCGTCAGCAAGCTGACAAGGTAAGGATGTCATCTGTGGGATGACTACACGCCCTGCTACAGATATACTTCTTTGTTATATTCTTAAGGGTGAAATACTGTAAATATTGGTGAAAATAAAAATGGTATTTTCACTGAGTAGAATAACATGTTATTTCACTGAGTAGAATATGACTTTTGCCTTGAACTAATAATATTATAATAAAATGCGTCATAAAATGCAGACTAACTCGATGATCAAAATAAAATAAATAGAATATTTTGTTAATGTTGTCAAATAACATGTATATTTCATCGAGTGGTCTGACAAAGTTGATATGTTATTAATATGAGCAACGTTTCGGTGTAGGTACTAACAACGTCATCAAGCAAGTGAACGTCCTTCATATTAATAAGTGAGTGAGTGAGTTTGGTTTTACGTCGCTTTTAGCAATATTCCAGCAACATCACGGAGGACACCAGAAATGGGCTTCACACATTGTACCCATGTGGGGAATCGAACCCGGATCTTCGGCGTGACGAGCGGACGTTTTAACCACTAGGCTACCCAACCGCCCTTCATATTAATAATGAAGAAGTTGTATATCCATAGAACTCTCCCCGTTGTTCACCACACCAACTTCTAAATGCCACTCAAAGATTTATTCGCTCTAATGCAGGTTAAATTATTCTATTGCTCGACCACTAGACTCACACTTAGTTTCTGAAATGAACATATTTTATAGGAAAAAAAGGGCACAGCAAATCTTCACGAAATATAGCAAAAAGGAACTGAGAGACTTTCTTCATTTTCAAAAACTGAAACTTCCGTTGTGTAGTCTTATCTCAGGTGTATATGCAGAGTTTCTGCAGCGCCTAACTCTCTAGGTCACGTTCCCGTGACGTCGAGTATAATATGTACATGTGTATTTTACCGTCCTTTGTAACTTGTAATTACGATCTTGCTGAAATACCGCCGATGTTACCGTAAATAGTTGCACACTCATCGCAATTTTAAGAATAGCCTTTGAAAGCTATATCAATGCTTTACCTGAGAAGGTACCAATGTCAGAAACATTTTCGCTTGTATGATTTTTTATACTGCACTTGAATATGTTGTGATTGTTGCATGCTCGGATCGAGAGAGGATATGTTCAGTTATGAGTCGGCTGCACTCAAGGCCGGTACGTTTATCACTGGTATCATTCACACCTGAATGAGTTGACGATCAATACCTCTACAGCAATACGTGCAGAATAACAGTCGATTTCCTTACATTTAGACTGCCATTAAGTTAAACTGCGGGTTTGATCGCACCACACCGATGTGAAAGGCAGTTGTTTACAAGCGCATGTGTACTTTAACCTACACAAGCACAACATTTTTTAAGATGACGGAGTAGTAATTTTGTAATTGTGCTGAGAATGGACGAGCGACTGTGGTACAGCGACCTTGCGCTTTCACTGTCAGTCCACCCGACCTTACACGAAATACCCGACTGTACAATGTCAAGGTGTAGGTAAGGATATGTTAGGTGTGTGTGTGTTTGTGCACAGCCACGCACCGACTCCGCCAACACCGACATACATAGATACACTGTAACGTAGTTTCGACCCGCACAACCAGTCGAGTGACCTGGTTTGTAGTCCTGCACAATCCACATAGCAACACCTCAAAACAGCTACTCTGCTGTCTTAAGCTTCAGTGAACGAACTCTCACCTTCATGGGAGCAGGTGCTGCTCAAGCAGGACCTCCAGGCACTGCTGTTCTGGGACCTCCAGGCTATGTGGTTCTGGACCTCCAGGCTATGTGGTTCTGGATCTCCAGGCACTGCGCCTGACAGGGACAGTGTTACAGGTGATTACGTCAACTCTGCAGGAAGTAGGAAGGAACACTATCCAACACGCTATTTATAGTTCAGAAATGTCGATAACAGTCAGCTGTGAGCCCCAGGACGTCACTGAAGGTGTTGAATCACTCGATAAGCACACATAACAGGACAAAATCTTCAATAGAACTTTTAATGGCTTTCAATATATATTCCCGTGAACGATTATACTTGTCTTGTTTGTATAAATTTAAAACTTTGATGTCTGTAGACAATTCCACTGTGTATAATCAAGCAATGTATCTATTTTACACGAATAAGCTACGTACAAGCCGTTTGTTGGCTGTGTCAAAATCAATGTATTACACACTCCTGAATAAAGAGGACAAAGCAGACTGCAGATCACCA